TCCTTACTTGAGTGTGGCTTCCTGGCCCCAGTGCAGATCCTTCAGCTGCTTGCACAGATCCTTCATCCTGCTGATGTAATCTCTACCTTCCCTCATTGGCCTTTGGGTGCAGATCCTTGACACAGATTCACATGTGACACTGCCTTGGGCTCTAGGCCTCCAGCTGAACTTGTGGAGGACACTGTCATGGGCTCTAGGTCTTCAACTGGACTCATGCAGGACTTTTCCCTGGGATCCAGGCTCTAAGCTGGATTCTGTGGGTCTCTAGTGTGTAGACAGATCTCCTGTATGCGCTTGCATTTGACTCTTTGGGTGAATACAAGTCCTGTATTAAACCTTTTCCCTTGTAAACCCTGACTGTAACAAATACACTTTACATAAATGAACTGTATGACATGTGAACTACATCTCAACAAAACAAGAGGCCAAGACTACAGGCCTGCCGCCCCGGCTCTACTATGTGTGCTGCTCGGGGCAATGGTCATCTTGATCTTCTGAAATCTAGGTTTGTCCTGCGGTAACAGGGATCCCCACGAGAGATCCCGGCAGGAGAGCCGTGACTCCTGCTGAAGCCAGGCTCCAGGCAGCACTGCTGGAGGCCAAGTCCAGCTCTAGGGGATAGTGGCCTGCCAAAAACTTCCTGACCTGGAAGCACAAGGTTTAAGAGCATTTCTGGTAACAGTTGGATTAAACTCTTGACTTCTTGGAGCAGGCTATCAAAAGCTTTAAACTTCCTAGCACAGGCATGTATTTTGAAAACCTCGGTTAAATACTGAATAATGTAATCGAAACATGCCAATGGCAAGAACATTTTTTAAGAAAGAAAATTGCCCTCAGTCTCTTGTCCTCTTTGAGACATCAGTAGTGCTAGGATTTAATGGCCTTAAAATTTTTTTTTTGTGTTCAATCCAATGCTGTGTTTATGAGTGCCATAAATTTAAATGGGGATACAGTTCAGTTCTAGAACCCTTATGGATAGACAGTGACCGAGGGTTCCACTTCCAATGCTGAGAAAAAATTACATACATAGATTAGATACAGAGATAGAGGTTACATATCTCCCAGTCTTCTCCATCACAGTCACCCAGATATCTTTCTCTCCCTTGCAGTCTCCTGGCTTCTTTTACACAGAAATGAGCCCAGGAATTCCAAAGAGAGCAGAGGCAGGAGACTGCAACACAACACCTGAGTGGGCAACAGAAGGAGACCACCGTAACAGAAACGGATCACATCAAGAAAGCTAAACCCTGAGAAAGAGTGTGACCCATGAGGCCTGCAGCAATAAACTGTGAAGCTGACACAAACCGCCCAGCCCTTTCTCCTCTCCCTCTGTCAGAAGCTCCGGGCAGAGTCTGCATTACTTAAACTGCTGGAGTCCCAGCCTTTCTGCGTGTGACTCACAATTGTGCAGATCCTTCCAGAGGGGATAAAATACAATGGATTACGGCATTGCAGCGTCTGCAATTCCCAGGGAAGAGGTGGCTCAGGCTTTTGTCCTGCAGGCCTGGCGGGAGCGCCACGGAGGGTGTCCCGAGCACTTGGAACCTGGACAGTTTGTGCCGCGAGGCCAGGACAGGAAGCCTTGCGCCTTTCTGCAGCCGCGGCCGCCTGAGATAATCCCATTGTGTCCCGGGCCGCGACCGCTCCCACTCTGCGAGTCCGGCCTGGCGTCTGGCTCCCTGGCCGCTGGCCAGGCCGAGGTCCTGCCGCCTGAAGGCGGGGTGTGCATCCCCTCCCGGGCGGTCCCCACACACAGAGCCGGCCACACCTCACCTTCCAGAGGAAATCTGGCCAGAGATCCAGACTTCGTGACTTCTGCTTTATGAGCTCCCACCCCCACCCCAGTCCCGGCCCGGGCTTTTGCTTTCCGCCTGGGTGCAGGGACGGAGAGGGTGGGCGCTCGTCTGCAGCGCTGGATGGGGATTTGAGGTCGGGGCGCAGAGCTGCTGACCGGGTGATGGCGAGACAGGGCATCTCTGTGCCCTGCAGCCTGCCGGGAGGCACTGAGACCTCATTCCTGCAATGCACAGCCCTTTGCGAGACTCCTCCATCAGGCCGGAGCACTTACCGAGGACTATTTTAGGCGTATTTAGCAGCAGTAGTGTTTTATTTTAACTAGACATTGTTCTAGACACACAAAAGAGTTCAAGGATGTGGCTGCTGGGTTTTGTTCTTCCCCACAACACCCCCTTCCCTCCTCTCCGGGCTGTCAGGTTTCTCTGGGAAAATGGGATGAAAATGCTTGAGGACATTTCCACAATAAAACACTCTAAAATATTTTTTAAAAAGATTTCCTTTCTAGTCATGTCAAGATTATAACTCAAATCTGCAAAAGTCAGGAAATTCCAAATTTATGTTGACACTTTCCCCTTAAAACCTTCAGCAGATGACAAACAATGTAAAAATTTTGTTCCTATTCAAATGCTCCCCATGTGACGCCGGTGCCAGAGTCTGTCTGTGAGAATATATATACAATTTTTCTAAATTATTTCTTAGTGTCGAATGTGAAATAATCTTTTCAGGTTGATTTCTTGATTTACTTTTTACAGATGGGAAAGAACTCAAGATGAAAACAGAGGAAAAAATGTGAGATTTCCAACTGTTCTCCAGGGAGCCTACCATTCCGAATTCCCTCCAGCCATGGGAATGACCCAGTTTCTTTGAATCATCACTGAAACATTACGATTTTTTTTTTTTTTTTTTTTTTTTTTACTTTGGCCACTCTGACTGTCATGTAAGTATAACTTGAAGAAGTGGAGTTTACGAATCCATACAGTCCCTCGTTCTGAAAGTCGGGATAATCCCAGCCCTTCCCACTGCCAGCCGTACAGCCAAGACCAATTATTTAATGTCTAACACTCAGTTTTCTCATAAATAGAAGGGTCATGGTGCCAGAACCTACCTCATGGTTACTGGAGATGACATGAAAGAACACATGCTAAGACAAGGTTTCTAAAATTCCTTTATAACAGTGAGAGCAGTCACCTAGATAATAATACTATTCACCGGGTTCAAAGGAAAAAGCAGTCAGCGTGAGCTCCAGAAAAGCCCATTTCAGCATGCTGCAGACATGAGCCAAAAGAATCAATGCAAAGAAAAACTTAGGGAATCGTTTGACAAGGAAAATGAAAAGTATTTTTGTTTGTCTGATTTGAGACAGGGTCTCACTTTGTAGTTTAGATTAACCTTGAACTGACTGTGGAGACCAGACTGGCCTCAAACTCACAAAGACCCCCCTACCTCAGCCTCTCAAGTGCTGGGATTATAGGCATGCACCATCAGGCCCAGAAAAAGGTACTTGTAATAGTCATCCCTGTAGACTGGGTCTACAGGGTCACAGCAACTATACTTCAGAAAAGCATAGTCATACAAGTAAAGTATCAACCCACTCTATCCAGAAAAACAAGAGAAATATGGTGTGGCTCCCAAGTCATGATCACAAAACCAAACCACAAAAACAGATAGACCCTTAGGAGACACAGGAAAAAGATCCAGAAATTACAGGAGCCCAGGCAAAACTATAATGGGTAACAGGAGCCCAGGACAAGACCCACCCAGCTTTCAAAACCCATCAGCTACTGTAAGAGAGGATTTTGAATGCTTCCAACACAAAAAATGATGAATGTCAGTGATGAATATGCCTGCTTGGATAAACACACACTGTGCGTACGGACTGAACTGTTACACTGTACCCAATAAATATATGCAATTACTAGGTGCCACTTAAAAACGCTTAAATATATATATATATGTGTATATATATATATATATATATATATTTTTTTTTTTTTTTTTTTTTTTTTTTTTAAACCTGGTGAGCTGGAACCTAGAAGGGAAGTCAAGTGCCAGCAGCACAGCAAATGTGGACACCACATACCTCCTGGGTAACAAGATGACTCAGGAAAATTAAGCCACTTTGTGAAAGTTATGATAGGGAAATCTTACAGGAGGACCACAAAAGGCAATTTTGGACATTAAATGGGGTAAATCAGCTTAATTTTCATATCTGTAAGGATGTTGTGTTTAAAAGTCATATATCTATAGCCAAGAAGACTGGAAGGAGGAAACCATTCCAGACCAATTTCATTTCCGTCTACGATAGACAGTAAGACCCAGTAATAAGGCAGAATAATGACTGTGAATTCTGCTCCAGGCCTGTGGCCAGCATAGTTCTAAGCAGCAGCTTGGCACCTTTGGGTGGGGGGAGGCCTCTTAGCCCACCTACTGGTGGGACCCACTTCTCTTCGAAGCTTGCTGTCCTGGTGCTGTTTGCTTTTAGATTTAGTCCCAGAGCCACATGTGTTGCTTCCTGGACTGAAGTGGTAGTAAAGATTCAATAGAGAACGGTGGGTAGGATTTAGGGTCGGAATCATAAAGATGCCTGTCTCTGTCATTTACTGTCATGTGGACTTGGGTGGGTCTGATTCTTCCTGTCTTTTGTACCTTTTCATTCAGTGAAGGTTAGAGTCCCATCCATTCATGATCAACAGGAGTGTGTGGGTCAGGGTGTGCCTTCCAGATTCTACCTCTTCTCCAGCTCTGAGTTTTACCTAGGTTATTGACCCTTATTGACAGGTATGTTTTTATTTTCCAGAAGTTAGTGTAATGGTTGATATATTGTGTCAACTTGAGATGTCTAGAAGTTTAACTAAGTAACTGAGTAGTTCTACATCCTGGGGTGTGGAGCACATGCTCTTAGCTTCTAGGAAGTTATCCACTGTGTCAACTTGAGAAGTTTAGAAGTTTAACCAAATGATTCAGCAGGGGGTCAGGGTCCTCACTTCAAAAATATCCTGAGCCTGTGCAACAGGAAGGCACAGGATGGTGTCAGTGGTAAACCCACGGGAGGGAGGGTAGCCTGCATATACTACAAGGGAGAAAAGAGGCTTGCTGTCTGCCCTTTCTGCTCTTGTTGCTTTTGCTCTCTTCCACTTCTCCACCTGTGGTCCCTGTGCCATGCCACTCTGCCTCGGAGCCAATCGATTATGGACTGAAACCTCGGCAAACCGTCAGCTAAATAAACCTTTCTTTCCTTAATTTTGAGTGTCAGGTATTTTATCTCAACAGCAAGAGAAAAGTAACCAAGATAGTTACCTAATGGAGTTGGGATGTAGCTCAGTGGTAGAGCACTTGTCTAATACAAACAGACTCCTGGGTCACATTTCCAGTACAAAAACAAAACAAAACAAACTAAACCAAACCAAACCCTGAACATTAAAGTGATCTAACGACTCATTGTATTATCAGGAGTTGTACGGACCCCTGTCATTCTCCTGTGTGACCTGGATGGTGGGCAGCAAGCTGCAAGCCAGAGACTCCACAGAATCAAAGTAAGTATATCCATCCCTCAGCAGCCACACACTTAGGGGCCTTTGTTTGCTTCCTTTACACATCCTTTTCCTTTCTTCCTTTTTTCTTGATCTCTCCTTTCCTCATTTCAAGGTCTTGATGTCGGCAATGAGGAACCTCCTAGAGACTACAGCTCATCCCAGAGATGAACCTTGTTTTCCAGGCTGGTGACCTGGGGGTCCAGTGGACAGCAGCTTTTCAATGCCTGTTGAAATAAAGTTGGAGTTAACCCTCTCCTCCTCGCTGCTATTGGTTACCCTTGTGTGACTCCAGGCTGACAACAGCACCATTTGCCTTCTCAGTACAGACAACCTGGATGTGCGTAGAACTGGTGAATTTTTGCCTGTGCGCAAAGCAAGGAAATAGTGATTTCTGCACAGGTAGGTGGTGAAACAGCTCATGTCTCTGTGTCAGTGGTGCAAAACAAACAGTGGCACTGTGCTGTGGTGACACTCTCTTACGTGTCTGTTAGGTTCATAAAAGGAGACTATAGATGATCATGGGCATCTTGTGCTTTTGAAGTGGCCAGCTAAGAGGAGGAAGTTTTCTGCCTTGAGTGTCAGCTCTTGGCTTTGTTGTACTGTCCACCCCCTAGAACAACTGCAAGGATGCCTCAAATTTTGCAAAAGTCTTAAGATTAAATATATCCGTTGCTTTCTCCTTATTCACTGTCTGCTTATTGCCTCTGCTGTGTAAGTCTCCACCCGAAGAGAAGAAAAGAAGAGAGAGAGAAGCGATGGTCAGATGAATAAAGAAACATATATGCTCAGGGAAAAGCTGGAGTAGGCTGCTGCAAAACGCAGAAGCATCCAATGCAAAGTTTAAGAAACTGCCCCCAATTGTACATCTGAAACAGGAGAGGATGACCTAGCAATCAAGTGAAAGAAAAACGAGTATGGTTTCCTGGTTTAGTTTTCTAGATTTTGGTTCAGTTATCCTTTTGAGTTTGGATAAACAGCATCCCAAAAGAAAGAGGACCTTGAATTCAGCATATCGGAGGGAACCACTCACCTCTCTCAGGCAGATGAAGCTTTCCAGGATACATGACATCAACTATAATAAAATGACATCTGCTGGAAAAGAAAACACCAATCAGCATGACTAGCTGTTGCTAATGGAAATCCATTTTATCAATGCAAACATAATATTAAATAAATCACAATGCTTTGTCCAAGCAAAAATGGTGCAATATACATGTGTTTGTTTCAAATTTCGTAACACATAAATGTAAGAGTCTTCTTAAATTTTAGCTTGAGAAAGGAAGCAAGGAAAAGTGTGCAGAAATAATGTACAAAAGGCAAGTATTGGATCTGTTTCGATGAAGAGCTTATAAACTCATTGGCTGACTTTAACCAAAATAATTGTGTCACTTGTCTTTGAGCCGCTATTTGTGGCACATGGAAGCATTTAAAATGACGATTAAGTCTGTAGGGTGGAGTCAGACCACCTCATTAGAATGCTGCTCAGCCTGCCTGGCGGTGTGATGTTTGGCAAGTATTTTAATCTGTCTGTGCCTCTGTTTCTGCAGATGTAATATAGAACAAGCAATTTCACTGTCTTCACAGGGTAGTCATGAGAACTAAGGGTGGTAACTCAGCTCAGCCGTTAAGCACATTTCTTGTTACATAGAAGACAGCAAAGCTGAATAGTAATAATATCTAATTATTAAATGAAGCCATTTAAATGAAAACAACTTGCAGCATATGCAATTCTGTATATATGTCACTACATTTATAATAATTAATAGTCAAAATGATTAAGCATTTACCACATGTAGGGCAAATTCCCAAGGGCAGAGGAACAGGGAAATCAGGAGACTATGATAAAGCTTTGGTTTGTGCACATAAATTCTTTCCAGAGATGAGTTTGTAATCCAAAGCATTTATGCATCTAAGCAGATTTCCTCAAAAGAAATAATGGTAACTCAGGCGATTTGTTTCACAACCCAAAAATATTCATATAAAAACAATTATAATATTATAGAGTAACACAAAATAATAAAGGAAATACACAAACTAACCTGCACTTCCCTTTGAAAACTTTTGTGGCTAGTGTGAGGAACACAAGAAAGAGGGGGGCTATTGGACAGAACCACTTCCACTAGCACTAGTGGGATCACCCCTACAGGCTCAATGGAATCTCAGTGTGTGTGAACCTCAACAAGGAACCTATCTGGTGACACTTGCCTTTGCTTCCTTTTGAGAACTTCAAGGAAATGTGACATTTCATTGTCATTAAACAGGTTCATCGCTCACACTGCTATCGCCTTATTCAGTTTGGTGCTTTTCTAAAAAATTTGGACTGTTTTCCACATCTCCCTAATCTCATTTGAAGTGAGATTCCTCTGCTTTTTTTTTCTTCTTCTCTGTAAACATGATCTCCTCCATAGCCTCCTGCAGCTGGGAGACCGCCACCCACAGTCCCGCAGGGAGAGGGAAAGAGGGAACCATTGGCTCTGCTGTGATCATGTGACGTTTGATGTCATACACTGCTTGCATTGTATCACCTGTTTATCAAGTTATATTGTATTAAAAATGTTACTCATCTTGCAGATCACGCTCAGAACAAGTTACTTGCAACTTTTATTGTATTTATATTAATCTAAATGCATCACCATGGTTCCTCAAAAAATTAAACACAGAAAATACCCAGCAAGTCCATTGGAGTGTACACATGAAAGAAGTGAAATCAGGGACTTGAAGAGATATTTGCAAATTCACCCTCACAGCAGTACTATTAGTAATACTCAACACTGAGACTCAAGGGTCCCATTTTACTTAGCATAATGTTTTCAAGGTTCAGCCATACTGTATGTAGTATGTGTCAGAATCTCCTCTTTTAAAAAGCAGAATAGGGGCTAAGGATTTAGCTCAGCGGCATAAGCACCTGCCTTGCAAGCATGTGGTCGTGAGTTGGATCCCTGGTACTGGTAAAAATAAATAAATAAATAGAATAACAATTGCAATATATGTACATATCACATTTTTATTTAGAATAGCATTATTAAAACAAAAGTAGCTAGTAATATAATGACCACTTACTAATTATTTATTGTTAATTCACTGAATTATTATCACTTTTCTAAGAAGTTGTTGTTTACTTTTTTATAGCAAAAAAAAGCTAGGCCAGACCAGCTCAGGAGCCACCCCCAGACAGAGCAACCCTGCACACAGCAGAGCTGTAATTCACATGCAGGGAACAAGTGACTGAGAAACCCCAGCTTTGTGGTTCTCACTGCTGCCTATAGAATCTAGAGCCTGTGGTCTGTGAAGCAAAGCCTGTGCCACCAAGTCACACTCCCCACCTCTAAGTCTGCCCTTCCAGGACAGGCCTCTCCATTCTTCTGCTCCGACCTTGCTCTCCCCTGCACACACCTGTCCTCAGGGCCCCTCACACCCAGCACGAGAGTGGCAACCAAGCTGCAGCCTTTCCAGCCCCACCTGCTCCTGGCTCTCTCAGCTCATTCCACCACACCACTCCAGCCTCCCTGCTCCTCTGCTCTGGGCTCCAGCTGGGCTCCTCTCCTCCCTGTACCCCAGGCTGAGCACTCACCCTCATCTCCCCAGAGCTGGTCCTGCTCAGCAGCAGCTCTCAGGCCTTCTCCTGATGGGGGATCAGCAGAGCTTCCCTTGCCTTCTCTTGGCACAAATTGCCACCCACAACAGTGGGCCACATTGTCTATCTTGGAGATGTGCAGTTCTCTCTCTCTCTCTTTGTCTCTCTCTCTGCCTCTCTGTCTCTGTCTCTGTCTCTGTCTCTCTGTCTCTGTCTCTCTGTCTCTGTCTCTGTCTCTGTCTCTGTCTCTCTCTCTCTCTCTCTCTCTCTCTCTCTGTACCACTCTAGCACTAGAGAACCCTCTGGCTCTGCCTGGGGATCAGTAATCATTGGCTGAAAGAACATGCAAAAATAAAGTTTTTAGAGTCTGGGATGTAGCTCAGGGGTAGAGTAGCTGCCATTTACAAGCTCCAGGATTTGGTACCTGGTACCATGCAAAAGAATAAAACTGTCACATCTATGATATTATCTGTTAGATTATTTACCTGTGCCATGTCTAGCAATCTAATAAGCTATTTAGCTAATGATCTCTTTAAAAATACACTCACTTACCTTTTAGATTATCTTCTTCAGCATTATTTTAAACTACAGTTTTTTTCATTTCTTTTATTTTGGTTTTATTGTGTTATTTCTTTTTGAGATAGGGTTTTACTATGTAGCTCAGGCTGGCCTTAAACTCACTGTGTAGCCCAGCCTGGCCTCGAATTCACAGCAATTCTGTGGCTGCACCAGCCTGCTGAGTGCTGGGATTACAAACATGTGCCACCACAGCCAGCTTTAAACTGATCAATTCAGGTATTCAGATGAAGAGCAAGTTTTTAACTATGGCCTCTCTCTCTTTCTCCTTTCTATGGTACTGAGGATTGAAGCCAAGGTCTTCACACTAAGCTACATTCACACAGCACCCCACTCCCCCCAACTTTTTTTTTTTGAAGCAAGTTCTCAATAATTTGCTAAGCTGCCCTGGTGAGCTCAAGCTTGTGATCCTCCTCCTTTAACCTCCTAAGTGGTGGGATTACAGGCATGTGCCACCATCCCTGGCTCATTTTCTTTTTCTAATATGATTTATTCAATGGAATTAGCTTTAAAATGCATGCTTTATTATTTCTGTGGTCCAAAATGAGATATTTTAGATCAGAAATTACTTGTTATTTTATAGCCAATTCTTCCTTATAATTATAAACTCTTAGAATTGGAAGCTACCTTCCAATTTATTTGTGATAGCATAAAATGTAAGTATGTCTCTCTATATTGTACCTTTAATAAGATGATACTGATCCTAAGTTTGAATTCTTTAGCGTAATAACGAACCTCATTCCTTATTACGCAGCCGATTCTAAAACTGGACTAATCTATTTAATTTATTTATCTTTAAAAATGTTTATTGAGTGCCTTTGTTTTAGTTAATTTTCTCTCATCGCTGAGACAAAATACCCAACACCCAAGGTTAAAGGAGGAAAGGTTTATTTAGCTCACAGTTTGTGGAGGTTTCAGTCCATAATTGGCTGGCCCAAAGGTGGGGCGGCACACGGCAGAGGGCAACAGTTCATGGTGGCAGAAGACACTAAAAGCAACAATGGAGAGAAAAATCTGTTTTTGTCCCTTATGTTGTATCCAGCCTACTAGAATTAGGACATTGACAATCCAGCCAGTGGACTGATCCAGCAATCACCCATCCTTAATCCCAGTATCTATAATTCCAGCATTACACTTCAAATCAATCCCACCTCTGAAAAACTCCATGACCCCCTGAGGGTATGGGGACATCTAAACACAAACCACAACAGTCTTCAGTGTATCTAAGCTCTGTTCTTGATGAAGAATGGACAAAAATACAATCTATGTCTTTACGGACTCTGTAGCCTAGTACAGTACAGTACTAGTTTTATGCGATGGTAGAAATACTCTATAATTTGCACTGTCCATCACAGTAGCAGTGACCATGTTTTAAGTATTCAGCCACCGTGCGTGGTTATATATTAAACTGTGCTGTTTCCTGCAGTCTAGGCAACAGATTTAGATGGTAAGCAACTACTTTGTGGAAGGTTCCGTGGGCTGGTCAAGAAGGAAGCAAGGGCCTGGCTCACTTGGGAGGTGAGTCAGGAGTGGCTCCCTTGATGATGTGTCAGGGTGGCTGGTTTTAGGGGGACATCTTAGTTGACTTCCTGTTGCTCATAACACAATCCCACAGACAGGGTGAGTTGTAAAAAAGAGAGGTTAATTTTGACTCACGAGTCTGGCCCAAGGTTCAGGAATCTCATCCTGTGATAGCCTTCTTTCTGAGAGTCCTGAGACAATGCAGGGCATCACACCATGACAGCTGAGGAGTACAAAAGACCCAGGCCAGCGGGCAGCAACCTGTTATTAGGTTAAAGCCCTATCAACTCTTAAGGGTCTACCTCTTAATATTTTACTTGGGGATTAAACTTCAACGTGAGTTTTAGGGGGTAAAAATAATATCAGGAAGTGCATGAAAACTTGTGAGTGGGAGAGGTGAGGGAAGGAGGAAGGACAAAGGCTTAAACAAAGGCCCAAAAGCTTCCAAAAGTCAGCAGCACTGCCTTTAGGAGCTGAAACAGATGATCTGGCAGAGGGAAATGGGATGGAGGATGGAGAAACGGCAGTG